TTTTTATAATATTTATATCTGCTTTTTTCTATTTGTTACGTTTTAAACATGATGTACAGCCTCCTGTTGTGCTCCCTTCCGCAAAATCCCCCTATTACCCCCGGTCTCGTATTGCAGAATTCTAGGGTTTTTTGGTTTCCGCGGTGTTACCTATAGTAGATTGCTTTCCGTATGGCCTTCCAATGATCTGAGCCGACGATGTACTGAGGAAGATGCAATAGGGCTGTGTCGGCCACTTCATGAAAACGGATGGCGGGCGCCTGCTAGAGGGATTATTTCATGGCGACGTTGCGACGGATGATTTCAGACAAGGCGGACGAAAGCCTTCTTACCTAGACGCCTTCAAGTCCTCGCATATACACCGACAAGTCAACCCACTGAGCTGCGACGATTGTAGACGGAATGGCGACATCTAAGGCAAAAAGAGGGGGGTTCCAAGACTCAGACATAATGAACTAACGATGCGAACATCCAAACCCTGCAATAGAACCGAACATTTCAGCGGACATTCAGGATACAGATAGGCCTCATTGAACATATACGAAGGCGACCGGACGGATCGGCGTGCGCCCCTCTTCGCCCCAGCTTCGCAACACATTACCAACATCACCACTGCGGACAATCCTGTCATTTCCACCATTGCCGCCTCCGCTAGCGATGTGAACTTCGTACAAGCCTATCCCCATCGCGACCGAACATTCGAAAAAGACACCGCTTTACTAGGCATTGTCATGCGCCATCTTTAGTCTTCGTTCAGATCTTAGGTGCTGGCAGGAGCTGTTTTAATGAAACTTGCGCAGCCGATGGATGGGGCAGTACCAGGATCAGTGAGATTTTGTGTAAAATGGTGGGTAAAAAGTAAGTTGCTCTACCACCTTAGATGCTCCTAGCTCCTATTCCTGTGGTTACTTTTAGTTTTATTAGTTCTATTTTAGTTTAGTTTTTAGATTATTATTTAGTTTACTAGTTTAATGTTACTTCAGTTTAGTTAGATACAACCAAGGCTAGATAAATATACTTAAATAACTATTATATACTATACTTAACTAAGTTTAGTAAGCTAAACTTAACGAAACTAACTAACTAAACTAAAAAGTAAACTAAACTTAAATTAAAAGTAAACGAGTAGACTTAACTAGTAACATGGGTCCTGTAAGACAGACTTCTGGGGCTAGGGACATCTTACGTGGTAGACCAACTTAATAGTTACCAAAAAGTGTATTTCAAGAGATATAAAGTACTTCTATTGCTTCATTTTTGCCGCTAAACACCAGTTGTTTAAGAAGGAGGTTACCCAAGTAGACAGGAGAAATTAAAACGGCTGGTCAGCTGCCGTCAGCCATCCTTACTAAGCCCCAGTTTTGAGAGCATCTGAAGTTTGAAGTAGTGTTACTTTGGTTATTGAGCGTTCTAACTGCGCCTAGCGTCTATTAGCGCATTATACCTTCAAGGACGCAGTTACGAACCTAAGATGCGCGAGAGTCAAGGGTAGATAAGGCTAATAAAGCAGAATTGGCCAGTTCAGCCACTCTCCTGTCATGAGCTATTGCTAGTTGTTGTCCCACTGCCCACGGGGCTCTCAGGGTGCAAAATTGTCCGCTTGGCTGTGTGGCGGACGGCAACAATGCCTGTTTTCCCTTCATTCTCCAACACCCGCTGCCCCAAAATCATGCGTCGTCACAAACGACCACCGCAATGCTTTCTTTCACTGGCGCCACGCGAAACTGCTTCTGGCTAACCTATAACAGCTGCGCCAGCTTCCCCTGTCCTTCGGCTTTCCGGCACTCCCACAGT